TTACAGAATGCGCTCGCGTAAGTTACGCGTCATCTAATCCTAATATAATGTTGCCATTTATCACTTAGAAAAAAAAAGCAATCACAATGCTTAACACACAAATTTTCAGCAAAATAACCAATTCACTTGTGGCGTCAAATAATACATCGATCGCAGTAGGGGTCTAATTAGCCCTGCGTCGAATTCGAATGGCTTTCAAACACGCATTAATCGGCTTGTCAGACCCGCACCGCATCTGACGGAGAGACTTTTTGACAACTTTTCGAATAATTCATAGATCACGCACTCCTCTTCGCTATTTAAACACAACTCACCGAACCTATCTGACCCACAATTCGGTCGAAGAGTTAAACAAGCGCGATCCCGGAAGAATCCGCGGGACAGGAATATCTCGCGCGATCCGATTTGCTCGCAGGAAAAGAGCGAGAAAGAAAAATCGAAAAGAAAGAAAGACTCGAGCTTCCCCCTTCGAAAAAAAGGATCCCGGCGTCGAGATGTTGAACGTTACAAACTTTAAACGATCAAACTTTCCTTAAGTCAATTTTTTTCAATCGCGCCTGCACTGTCCGAGGCTCCCGTAGAGATGGCAAGGGGGCGCGCACGCCCCCGCGTCCATCGTGGTCTCGTAAAAAGGGGATGGGAGCGCGGCGTCGGTGTATCGGCACTCGCGAACGAGTAATGAAATGAGAATCACGGTGGCCGATAGAAACATTATTGACGCTGTCAGCGCCGGCGGGAATTAGGTTTAAGGCGTTCGCGCAGGGATATGTTGAGAAGTGCGGAACAGGGTCGCGGAGGATCCTCGGGCGTCCTACACCCCCTCCCCCTCTCGCCTTACCCTTCGTGGTAGCGCCGCTCTTCTCGACAGCGGGGGCGGGATCGAACGACGGATAATATTTGAGTTTTCGAAGGCCATCAAGCGCGAACGAGGGGGAGACAAGGCCGAAGGTCGTGGGTTAAGTAAGTGGTTAAGAGGATGGCGCTGCGCTGGGGTAATGGAATAAAAACACTCGAGACCGATGTCACTACCTTCGACCTGAGGGGCCAAGAGGGTGAGCTCGAGTCTCTTTCTCTCTCTCCCTCTATCCCTCTTTCTCTCTCTCTCTCTTCCTTTTTCTTCGGCGGAAGGAGAAGGACGCCGCGTGCGCGCCCACACCTCGAGAGCTTCGTCGGAAAACACTCTCGTGTCCCCGCGCTCGGAAAACGTAGCGCGAAAATATTTCGCGTGCGACGAGTACAGTTGGAATATCTCTTATTAATATCGCGACGATGTATGATTCCTTTGTCGCTCCGCGTCCCGTCGTCAAAATATTGTTCCAGCGTTAAGCGCGCGTTCTTCCCTCTCTGTCTGTCTCTGACTCAAGGAATGCCTGTCGTTAAATGAGGAAGAGGCTGCGAGTGGATTAAGCACGTGTTTCCGAGCGTGTTCTTAACTTCGGTGGTGACGATGAAGTAGCCCTCCTATCCGTATACTTTGTATCTTTATCGAATGAATTTCCATGCGCTGAAATTTCTCCGAATATTAAGTATTCGTAACGACCGTCTCGTTATTAATTCTTGCTCACCACACAAGTGAGCCTCATTCCAACATAAGCGGAATAAGAAACTACTCTCTAATTAACTTAGCAATTGGGTGAAAAGGTATTTCAGGGTAATTGAATTTATAATAAATTTACTGGGACTCAAGGATCGACTTAAGCGTAGAAAATAGATTCACCGCGATTGAAATTACGCTGGAAATATTCAGCACGTGCGTTACACATTGAACAACTTTACTCCCTCACAAATAACTAATATTAATACTTAAAATATAATATTCTAATGACAGTATAACATCTGTGCTTTGTTTCGAAAGAATCGTTAAAGTTCTTTGTTTATTTAAACCAAGAAGAAGTCTCGTTCAATAGTTAGAAATATTAATTAGAATAAAAATAACAAGGCGACGAAGTCGAGCGGTCTCACAGACCGAAATGTGACGAATTAACGACTCGAAAATAAATATGGCTCTCCGGTTAAATGAAGGAAAAAAGCAGCACGACGCAGCGGAACGGAGGGGATTATTATTGTAGATTGTATAAATTTTTCCTACGTTCCGTGTTGTCGGGATGCGGCACTTTCCATCGGTTACAGATACCGCGGAACGAATATAGAGTACAGCCGGCTCTCGCCGCAGGGTACATCGGAAAATTAATGCCATATGTACTTAGATTGAATTACGCGTTTAAATGGAGGAAATATGAAATTTCCCGATATTAAGGGGCCGTGCATCGGAATTTGCTCAATCGACAAAGTCGATTACGATCGCGTTTCAGCGCAAATTGGAGGCGAGGCGCCAGGCCAGGGGATTCGTTAATGGCACCGGTGAACGTACACGCGTACAGAGAGCGTCATGCACGTGCACGCATCTGCAGGCTCTTTTTGCGCACTTATGGCTGCTTTGGACTTGCGATGTGTGTACGCCCGCGGTACGGTCGTAATTAGTCCGCGGGATCGCACGCTACCCTCTCGATGGACATTCATTGCTGATGCTGCTAATGACGTCGATCTTGCGCGTCTGGGACACGAAGTAATAACAGTCGAGTATACATGGTGGCCCGTCAGAAACCGAGTAACTCGCGCGACGTCTGCACCGGACTCTGCCTTCCCCTCGCACAGCCGTTCTCGCAGTCGGACGACTTGTCGCGTATCCACGGAGATTTTTCGCGTTTCCATAAAGATGTATCTCTTTGAATGATAAAAAGCTACGCGAGGAAAATCAGGGCAACAAGAGGTCGTAAAATACGAACATCACGGCCGCACTCGTGGGGCATAAAGTTAGCGCAAATGCAAAGTTTTAATGTTACGCAAAGGGAAAATTAAATTGGGGGGCATCACAAGCCCCACTCGTCATTTTAAGGCATTCTCTTTGGGGTCGTAAACGCCGTATTTAGAGACGCGAATAATTTTTACGAATTAATAAAGAATTATTCAATTTATGCCCCCATGTCTCTCTTCCCCGTTCATTTTATCGAGACACGTTTTCACGTGGAGCCATGTTTCGCATGGATTAACGAAAGAAGGAGGGAAGAAAGAGCGAGGGAGAGGAAAAGGAGATCTCACAGTTCTCAAGCTCGTGAAATTAGTGTGTGTTCACGGGAAATAATATTACACAGTATGGATATAAAAGTGGCAGGTGGAAGTACATCCCGCTTTTAAACATTTTTCGAGGCGAGAGCCCTTTTTATCGTCGTCGACGAATTTCGCCGCTGCGCGGAAATACTCGTAAAACATTGAAGAGCGGAACAATTTATTTTTATGGAAATACGCGCGTGCATAAAAGATTTTCGTAACGCGCAACCCAGAAAGTATATTCATTTGCGAATAGGGATTTCACGCGTCGCGTATCATGCGGAAATTAATTGGGTGTGCCTGTAAATATTCACCGGGCGTGAAATTTTTATTTGCCCGTCGCGTCCGCAATCAAATCGTTGACGCCATGAATATCGCATGAATTCAATTTCGTATTGCATTATCTCGTTATGCGAATGGGATTGACCGCGCGCGAGGCGTCGTACTTTATTTCAATATTAAATGCCTTCCCGATGTCCTGCGTCCCGTTAATTATTAAATTTATGCGAGAAACTGCAATAGCGCCGAGGAGACAAAAGGAAGGCGCGAGAAGAGAATAACAAGGGAGAGGCGCCATTAAAAATGCTGAATAAACATGAAGGCGTCGCACGAATTCTTTTGCCCTGGACAGTATAATCATCGCATACACGCATTAGTGCAAATGACGCGCAATTTGCGAATGGTCCCATTCTTTCGGGATTATTGTGGCTTTTAAATAAATTGTAACGTCAATTTGCACGCCGTGCGTGTCGTCCGATTGCTTCGCACGAAAAGTTAACAAAATTTAGAAAATTAGCGCGAGAATAAAATACAGGAATCTATCAAATTAGTCGAGTCATATCCATAAAGAATCCCTCGGGTCATTTTCTCAGCATCACGGCCAGACCCTCCCTGTTTGCTTCCACTGCAATCTTCAACCGACGGCGTCCTCGAAAACCGCGCTTTACCCCGAGTCGAAATTTTAAATTCGACATTAAATCTTCAAATGGAGAAGACGGAAATAAGTCCCCACTTGTAGCATCAAAGAAGCACAATAAGCGTCCCTTTAAAGCGACAGGGGGAATTTAGTCCTCCAGAGTCTAAATTTTAGTTCTACATTAAGCCTTCAAGTGGAGAAACCGGCAATAAATTCTCCATTTGTAGCACCAAAGGAGCACGAGAGAAGACCTTTGAATATTTAACGCAGAAATAAATCAGACTTAAACCGGGACGGAAATTTCGGCTCGCGAATTAAAAGCCCGAACGCTCAAAGTATCGGGAGACGCGCGGAGGCGAGAGCGCCGATACTTCCACGGTATCGTTAGCACCCCCGAGTCCACCCTTGTTCACCGACAACCGCGGCGGCGAGTCTCCCGGCGTCGCGGTCGACTTAAGACGACTCCGTCGGCGTCCACCGGAGGTTCAAACCCCCGACATGCTAGGTGGGGATTCGGCGTTCCACGTGGAGGCGGAGCGACGTCGCGCGTCGGGGTGCCGAACCGACGCGGGGGCGTCCAACCCCCGAGGCTCCTGGTGGGGAGCCGTGGCGAACGCAGTCCCCGACGGATCACCGAGACGGTGCAACGCGTTCCGCCGGCTCCGTCCGCTGCTCGGACAAGTCGCTCGCCACGTGACCGCCACCAACGGGAGTCCCCGGTGTGGGTGGAAAGCGCGTCGATCGGGTCTCCCCGTCGACAGAGAGCTCGCGAAGGCCCATCGAGCACGAGGCCCGACCGCGCGTCCCATCGTTCACTTGAGAATTCGCGGTCTCACGGGGAGACGGAGACGCGTCACGTGACTATGACAGAACGAAGCGGAAGGACTGTCGATCGCTTCTCGGAATCGAGCGTGAGATCCTGAAGTGCGTCCCGTAGAGTTCGTCACTGGCGTTTGCGCGGTCAGCACCGCGGCTAGACACGTGAGCCCCGCGGGATTGGTGTACCTATGCTCGAGGTCGTCGTGTATGGTGCTGAAAGGTGGTGAACGTGTTGCCTAAGGCCGTTAAGGGCGGTCCGTGATGTTTCGCTGCCGGAGAGTTTAGGTGTACGGATTATCGGGGATAGAGCACGACCTGATAAGGTAAGACCCTTATCGCTACCACGATCCTCGAATCTCGTTTGTGCATACTTCAACGTCTTTGATGGAGTTCCCGGAGGCTGTGGGTCGATTTCAGATCGACTGTGGCTCGTGTGATTTTGCATCGGAATTACATTTTCAACCCGTTAGTGTTCTCTGTCAACTGTCCAAGAAATTTCAGGGAAATTTTCACGAGTCGATCGGCTGATTTCGATAGCTTTGACCGGTTAAGTCGTTAGTCTCCGGAGGGGGTGATTACGAGTCGAGTTTACGATTGATTATAGTTCGCGAGATTTTATAACGAGATTACGAGATTACGTCGTTTTAAACCCGTCTGTATCTTTGATTAATTGACTAAAAGATTTCAGGAAAATTCGAGTCGATCTGTTGATTTCGCTCATTTTTATCGGTTAAGCCGGAAGAGTCCGAAAACGGTGGTTACGAGACGATTTATGATCGACTATGGTTCGTGCAATTTTATAACGAAATCGGAAAACGTCGTTTTCAATTCGTTCGTGCTCTCTGCTAATTAAATAAAAAATTTCAGGAAAATTCCGGTCAATCAGCTGATCTCGATAATTTTAATCGGTTAAGTCTCCAAAGGAGTTGGTTACGGGTCAATTTTAAGTCGACTACAGCTCGCACGTCTTTATATCGGGATTCAGATTCTTCGTTTTCGAGCCCCGTTTGTGCTTTCTGCCGATTATTTAAAAAATTTCAGGAGGATTTCGGTCGATCGGCTGATCTCGATAGTTGCGAGCACTTAAAATCAACCTTCCCGGCTGTAGGGAACGAAAATCTATCTCCGCAGCTCGTTATACATAGAACACGAAGCTGTTATCGCTTCAATGTTACAATCTTCTTTAAAACTTACAATTAGTCCGCTTTGAATTCGCGACACAGTTGCAAATCAAGTCGGGCGTAAGGGAAAAATCCGGCAAGCGTTGCCGCCACTTTTAACGTCGCTAATTACACGCGCGTAGACTTCCGTAAGTGAACGGGCATAAGAGGTGTCACACGCGGCGGTAGAAATTTTCCGTGGTCCAATTTTCTCGCGCGGTAACTCGCAGAGGGCTGTATGTACGGACATATGCGCGTACACACACACGTACGCACGTACGAACACGGCCAACGTGTTCGTCCAGAATACGCGCCATCCGACCACGGAATTAATTCTTCACAAAGTTTGCGACAGTGGGACGGGGCGGATCAACGCTGCGCATGCCGTCTCAAAGAGATCCACGAACAATTATCCCACGCGTTTTAGAAAAACGGGAGCCTCCACGAGAGTGGTGGCACTTCTCCCTTTTTCTTCCCGGGCGTCCGCACTCACGGCCGCGATATTCGTGGCCCGCGGCAAGGAGGGATCGTAAAATGTGACCGGATACGCCTGTCTCCGCTGCTTCGTGCCTCCTCCGTGGAGAGCGACGGAAATAACGGCGGTCTACGCGATACCGCTTATTTTTCTACATCCTTCTCGCTCCGGCCAAGGTAATCTCTCACGCAGAATTCTCACACGGAGATAGCCGTCGGGATCGTCGGAGGCGGATGAGTTTTACGATGTGCGATTAATTTAGGGACTGACGTCACGCGTTGCATTTGATACCCCTTCGCGACGACCTCTTGATCCACAGGAAACGCCCGATCATTCAATCTATCCCTAATACTTCAAGGAAAACGATTAATGAGAAAATCGCCCGCTACGCGGTAAAACATTTTCTGTTAAATTAAATTTATTTCACATATTCCAAACGGTCCATACAAATTTCTGTGTTAATTTAACACGAGGTGAATATATTGAAAAGTAATACAAATATTGTGTAAAAGATTAACACAAAATAATAATACCTATAATCGGTACTGGAGTATAAATTGTATTAACACTTATAAATGTCATTTTAATATTTATACACGTTGGATATCGACTCAACACAAAATATTGAAGTAACATAATTATAATATGTTAAATTAACATACGGATATGTTGAAAGTTTAACACAATATGAACAACGGCCGATTTTAACACAAATACAAAATGTTTTTTTGCTGTGTATATCCCGTTTATACGCCTACACGATAACGGGGAGAGGCATACTCTATTAATCATATGTATGAGAACACACATTCTATATCATTTTTAATTTTGTAACAACAAAATTTTGATCCTGCTTAAAAGCTTACGTGACAACAGCAAAAACAACAGCATATTTTCCTAATTACATGTGTGAAAACACATATTGCCCTTCATTTTTTTTTTTTATAATTCGTATCTTCTTCAATAGCGGCTTCGTCGCGATGACGCGATTAATCAGAACTGAAACGCGCGACAGTTTCGAGAAAAAATAGTGCACTTTAGGAAACAGACTTCCAGGCTGCAGTGTTACTGAAGATTGTTCCATTAATCCGTTAATCGTGTCATGTCGCTCGCATAACTGTAATTATGTTAACTTTTCACCGTGACGAACACACGGATACACGCCACGCACAATGCAGGCCACGGCGAAACATTGCCCGAGGTCGTGATCATACTTTCGACTTGTTTTAAAGTAAGATGGCGCGATACGATGAAAAGTAGTTCGAATTACAAGCGGCAAGTTTAATTACTTTCAAATAAGCGCGGTATATTTTTGCCGCGATACCCTTCCTCGCGTTTTCCCACAGCGCAACACGCGAAATGGGAAGGCGAAAGCGCCCGTGCAAGTTACCCCCCCCCCCCCC